GCTCAGGACATAGATATTGTCTCAGCCTCATTTTCCAAATGAGGACATCAAGGCCTGGTGACTTGCCCAGGGTCGAAGGTCAACTTTGCTCTCCAGAGGACAGGACCAGAGACCAGCTGTGAGAGTGTTTGGAGCAGCCGCGGCTCAGGGTGTGGGAGGCTGGGGATCCGGTCACTCCTTGTTATCGGCAGATTCTGGCTTTGTGGATCTACTTACTCTCTCAAACGTATCTGCGAACCCCAAATTGGTATTTGTGACGCTTTCACGGTCATTTGCAGACATGCGCAGAGGGGCATGATGCGGACACTCCAAACTTAACCTCAAACACGGCGAGGCTCTGCCTTCTGGTTCCAGTCGCATGCCGTAAATAAGTGTCCTTTTCAGCCCTGGCCAGTTTGGCTCAGCGGTTAGAGCGTCAACCTGCGGTCCAGAGAGACCCGGGTTCGGTTCCCGCTAAGGGCACGTACTTCGGTTACAGTTTGTCCCCGGCCCTGGTTGGGTTGTGTGGGTGGCAGCCACTCGATGTGTCCCTTCCACGTTGATGTTTCTCTCTCTCACTCTCACTCTATCTGAACAAAAAAGAAAAAAAAATGTCCTCAGGTGAGGATAAAAAAAAAAAAGTGTCCTTTTCATGTCTGTTTAGTGCCACATTTGTCCCATTCAGTGCTTTTTGTTGGTGGTTTTGCTGTTTAATTTTTTTTTTCCTTTATTGATTTTAGAGAGAGAGAGAACATCTACTGGCTGCCTCCTGCATGCCCCCACTGTGCATTGGGCCCACAACCTGGGCATGTGCCCTGGCTGGGAATTGAATCGGCGACCTCCTGGTGCGTGGATCAACGCTCAAACACTGAGCCACACCGGCCAGGCTGGTTTTGCTGTTTAAAATGGCCCCCAGTTGTCCTGTGTCCCTAAGTCCAAGAAGGGTGGGATGAGTCGTGGAGGAAATGGTGTGCTAGGTGAGCTTCATTCAGGCACAAGTTATACACGGTTGACTGTGAGTCCAATGGGAATGAGTCAATAGTATACATTAAATTAGTTGTCTTCAAACAGAAGCGCATAAAACCAGGCAACGTATTGGTTGGTTGACAAAAATACTGTGATCCAAGGCTCACAAGAACCTAACTTCTTTGTTTGCTGGTTGAGTGGTCATCCCTATTTTATAGAATATGACTCTCACCAATGATAAGACTTGCCCGTATTTCCTAGCCTGCCATGTGCCAGACCCTGTGCTGGGCCAGGTGCAGCAGGCGAGTGGACCTTGATCTGGTAATCCTGGACATGGCCATCCCGCTAAAAGCAGCCGGGCTCTCCAGCGGGTGACGCAGGTGAACACGGCTTGCGGTCAGGCACTGACGCCAGCTGTGAGCTGAAGGTTAAGTGGTATTTGGCCAGTGAGTGGGCTGTGCTTGGAGGGGGTGGGTTCCAGGTAGAAGGAATGGAGAGCCAGGGTCTGGAAGCATCACCGTGAAAGCCCTCCCTTTCCCCTTCTCAGGATCCGGGGCACCAGCTACCAGAGCCCCCACGGCATCCCTATTGACCTGCTGGACCGACTGCTTATTGTCTCCACCTCCCCCTACAGCGAGAAGGACACGAAGCAGATCCTCCGCATCCGGTGCGGGCAGGGCCAGGATGTGGGCCTGAGAGGCGGGGTTGATGCCCAGCCTGTTTTATAACTGGGAACACTGAGATCTCGGGGTGATGACTGGCCCAAAGTCTCAGGTCAGGCTGGGCATCAGGCTGGGCTGCAAGAGGTCGGGCTGGGCATCCAGGCAGTAGCCTCTGATGCAACATGGGGATCCCTGTGGGGAAGGGAGGGGTGGTACTGGTGACTGACATGGGGGGGAATCAGGAAGCCCTCCCTGTGCCTCAGTGGCCATGCCTGCTCAGCACCTGCAGTTCTGAGGACGCAGACTCTACGTGTCCCCAGGAGGGCCAGGGGCAAGGGCCAGGGGCTTGCTGCAGTCAGAGGCCTGACCTTGTCTGAGCCCCCTGCCCCTCTCTGCAGATGTGAGGAGGAAGATGTGGAGATGAGCGAGGATGCCTACACGGTGCTGACCCGCATCGGGCTGGAGACCTCCCTGCGCTACGCCATCCAGCTCATCACAGCCGCCAGCCTGGTGTGCCGGAAACGCAAGGTCAGCCAGCTAGTGAGCCCTCGGGGTCAGGCCGCGTGAGTGACCCACCACTCCAAGGGATTTGAGTGGGTTGTGGCATTTGGTCCTGGAACACACATCTTCAGAGGCAGGGAACTTTGGTCTCTTGGGTTTATTTCTGTGTCTCCCAGCCTGACACACAGTAGGTGCTCAGTAAATACCTGTTGACTGAGAGTCGATACTGTTAAGTCCATCTTACAGGTGAAGAAACAGGAATGGAGAGATTGAGCCCACAGCCAGGAGGTGGCCAAGGCGGGATTTGAACCCGGGCAATGTGGCACGAGTTCCTACCCTAACCCTCCTCCCACGGAGGGCCCCACTGAGGTCTCACTGTCCCCCTGTAGGGCACAGAGGTGCAGGTAGATGACATCAAGCGGGTCTACTCGCTCTTCCTGGATGAGTCGCGCTCCACACAGTACATGAAAGAGTACCAGGATGCCTTCCTCTTCAACGAGCTCAGTGAGTGTCGGCGTCCCCCATCCAGCGTCCCCCATCCGGCACAGGCTCCAGAGCGGCCTGTCTGGAGAGGTGGGAGGGAGCCTGGCCTGGAGAGCTCAGGCCCTGGCCTCTAGGCCACAGTGACCACGTGGCCTTTCTTCTCCCCACAGAAGGCGAGACCATGGATACCTCCTGAGCGGATGTTCCTCTCACCCCCCCCCCCCCCGCGGTTTTCTACTAGAATTCTGACACTGTGACTTTGTATAAAATGGTTCTGAAACTGGACTATTGTGTATGTGTTGCATATGCACACGTGCATTTGCACCCTGAGCTCAAAGAAGGGCCACCCCCAGGTGTGGTTTGAGAAGCCTTTATTGGGAGGGGAGGAGCATCTGCTGGCTCCCGGAGTCGGGATGGACATGGGAGGTTGGGGTGGGGGGTCCTTAGAGGAAGAGGAGGTCTGGGAGGGTGGGGTGGTCACAGTCCAAGGGTTGAGCTCTGGGACCCCCACAATCAGAGCTGCTGAGGCGGCAGGGCCCACAGCGACAGCTGAGGGCCACAGGGAAGGAGACCATCGGGTCCACTCCAGGCGGGCAGCCAGGGAGCCGGATGGAAGCAAAGGTCAGCTCACGGTAGGTGCACACCGGCTGGGGCACAGGAGGCAGAGCGGCTGGCAGCACCCGAACCTGGAGGCCAGGGCAGGGAATCGGCGTCCGTCTGCCCAGGGCCAAACCCTCCCGATTTCCCTTCTGCCACCCACAAATCTGAGACTTAAATATCCAGGGGACCCTCTGTACTCTCCCTCCCACATACCCAGCTCTGACTCCAATTCCCCAGCCCCTACCCAGGGGAGCAGGCCACCCTTCCACCCCGCTGCCACCTGTCTTCTGTGGGCCAGGCCCTGGGTGATCCACCCTGGTGCCGCGGTGGCAGCACCCGTCCTCGGGCAGGCAGGGCTGGTCCCCGCCAGCTCTGGGCAGCTCACCATGCTGGGGCAGTAGCCGGCACAGATGCTGGTGGTGAAGGTGATGCAGACCGGGCAGGCCTCGTTCTCGGCAGCCAGGGTGGCATTGATGGGCCGGCACAGTGGCCGCAGTGGCCCCCTGGATGCCCGTACCCCACCCACGCTCAGCAGCAGCCACAACAGCAGCCCCTGGGATAAGGCCACTCCCTCAGGGCTAGCCTGAGACCTCCGCCCCGGCCCTTTCCCTCCCATTCCCCAAGTACATACATTCAGCAAGTGCACACATTCAGGGCCCAGTCCCCAGCCCGACAAATTTCATTCGGGGCCAGCCATTCCACGTTGATCCCCCATCCTGATACACAGGGACCCCAGATACCCAGGCTCAGACCCTGCCCCATTGCTTCCCTCCTCCCAGCAGGAAGGCCGCTGGCTGTCCACACCCTTCTAGAAAGGCCTCCTTCACCCAGTCACAGGACTAGCCAACTTGGCCTGGGTGGAGCTGCAAGGCCCTACGGTCTTACCTGGAGCATCTCCATCCTTGGTGCCTCCCTACCTACTGTGTTTACCTGGTCTTATACCTGTAGGCTGTGGGGGCGGCAAGGCCACTGGGGGTGGTGTCATGGCGGGGTAACCTGGACACTAATCTCCTTGGGGGCGAGAGGCGGACAAGGTCAAGGATGTGCAGGGTGGCTCAGTGGAGCACCCCTCCCCCCATTTCCTGAGTGGCTCAACACTAAGAAGCAGGAGACACCCAAGATGACCACAGACTACAGACTCTGTCCTCAGGTGCTAGAGAGGCCGTGTTGGGGCACAAGAAATAGGAAGCCCTTGGCTGTGCCGGCAGGTTGAGTAGCCCTGTCTCTGCCTATCATGGGAGGAGCCAGGGGGAGGCTGGCTCACCCCTCCAAGGACCCTGGGATGGTGGTCCAGGGAAGCCTCAACCCTGCTCCACCTGCTCCAGACTGAAAGCCAGAGTCCAACCTCTGAGGAGGAGCTTGGCTTCAATACTGCATCCTGTGCTCAGGAAGACAGATTCGCCTGCACCCAGATATATCCCCCTCCACAGGGATGCAGCGGTACCACCATCTCTGCCACACTCGGGCCCCCAGAAACTAGGATGTCGGAGCCCAGCCCAGCGAAGGTGTAAACTATTTAACTGTCTTTAAGAAAAGATCGGCCCCTTCTGCAGCAAAGGGCACGACCCACCCGCTGGCCCACAGCCCCAAAGTAAGCATTCCTGGCCCACTCCTGGCCCCACAATCCAGTGGGTGCGAGTGGGGTTCGCCCCGCCACGGCTCAGTGGGCGTGTCCCAGGCCCGATCCTGCCCCGCCAGAGGGGCGGGGTTCCCAAGCTCAGCCCCGCCTACTATGCCCAGTTACTGTTTTCCGCGCTCCGCCTGGCTCAGGGACCTTGTCTCCCGCGGGGCTGGCCGGACTGCTCAGGCTCAGACGAGCGCGGGCTTCAAGCTGCCGTAGCTGGAGTTCTCCGTGCGGTAGGCTTGCGGCACACGGTAGATGGCCGGCACGGGCATCCAGTGGAGGCCGCCCCAGGGCAGCTCCAGCGGGCAGACTTGGTTAAGCCGGCGGAGCGGGTGCAGCGGAGGGCTGTATGACTCCTGGACCAGAGACAGCGCCCCTTGGTGCGGCACAGCAGGCGTCACTGGGAGGGCACGGGGCACACGCATCCGCCGCCGCTGCCCCAGGCGAGAGGAGCCGGGAAGGGGCGGCAGCTGGGGGCCGTGGCCCCAGGCTTTGGGAGTCTCGTTGAAGCTCCAGTAGGTCAAAGTGTCCTTGCGGGGGTACCCCAACAACTCCTTCCTGTTGGAGGCAGGCAGAATGGGGAGGGCACGGCTGAACCTTTGGGATGAGGCTGAGGGTTCAGACCTTGGGTCCTGAGGAGGCGTCAGACCTGAACTCTCCTGCGTTTTGAGGGGAGGGTACATTTGCAGGACTCAGGGACCACTCAGAAAAAATGGGGCTGGGGACTCCTAGTCTGGATTCCTGGGTACTTAAGTGCCTGGAATGTGGGATTTTGCATCCTTGAGAAGTATCTGGGGACTCAAATGCCAAAGGAACCCCTCCCCAGACCATCAGGGCCCTGCTCCTAGATCCAGAACTCCCTCTTGGGCCTTCCGCTGGCTTCGTGTTCCTGAGAATTAACACTAAATACCCGGGCTCTAAGGTCCGGGCTGGAACCTGAACTTCTGGCTCTAAGTCAGAAAGGGGGAGCTGACCCCTGGGGGCTAATCGGTTCACCAGCGGGGGGGGGGGGGCTGTGCAGGGAGCGGTGCCGATGGAGGACCCAGGCTCACTTCTGGTAGGCTCGGAAATCCCGGGCCGAGGTGGTCAGATAGAGCTGATGGCGGTCAAGGATGCCCTGCTCGGACACAGTGAAAGGTGGGCCTGCCAGCTCCCGGTTCTTCTTCCAGGGAATTAGAGCCTGAGGAGGATCGGGCAGGAGGAATGATCAAGGAAAAGGTTTCATGTCCCTTTCGAACGAAGCCTTAGGTCCCGGACTGAGAACTCCCCTTTCTTCAGACTGCACAGCCTCTCTGGACCAGGCCTCCACTCCCGCCCCCCGAATCAGAATCCTTCCTAGCCAATCACATGCCAACGTACGTTAGCTTCGCTCCCCAAATCAGAAACTCCAAAACCCAAACTCCCTCTGCTCACCATCGAACACAAAGCGAAGCCCCCAGACTCAAACCTTCTTTGTCCTGCCACTGGCCTTAAGTTACACAGTAGCCAACAATTCCTCCTAGCTTCATGCACTTGGAGAAAGTCTAGTCCCGCCTCGGGCTCTGACCAGGTCCCAGGTATTCAAGATCTGCCCCCAAGTACAGTCCATTACCTGGCTCCACCACCAGCCCTAGAACCCCCTCCTAACCCGCCCCAGAATTTACTGGTTGTACCCCCAGCCTCAGAACTAGATTTCGGGTCTTCAGTCCCCTCCTGGTCCCATCTCAAAATATCCAAGCCCGTTCCCCAGTCTGTGTACTCTCCTTATTGCGCCCCAGACCTTTTAGCCACGCCCCCAGACAAGAAATCTGTTTCTGGCTCCGCCCCAAGGTCTCCGTCTAGTCCCCAGCTTTACAGCCTTTGGGACCCGCCCCAGGTGCTCCAAACTCTGTCCCACCGCGCCTGCGCAGTCTTTCCCGCTACCTGGTAAGGGCTCCCGCAGTGGTGGCCGGCGAGCTGCAGCGGCTGCGACCCGACGTGGAAGGCGGCGCGCTGGTCCAGACTGGGCCAGCCGGTGTACTGCGCCCTCATTTCACTGTTTTGGTGCTTTGTGGTCGGAGGGAGGCTGCGATGTCCAAGCTGCGGGAAGGCGATGCGGGGACCCAATTAGAGGGTGCATGAAACTGAATTGGGGTCCTCAGCCCCGTCCGCCGCGGACCTCGGTTTCCCAGAACCTTACCTTTTCCCCTAACTCCTTGATCCCCATAATCCGCATGGGATCCCTAGGCTCTGGGGCCCTGGGCTGTGCGTAGGGCCCGCCGTGGGTCTTTAGCACGTGAGCCGAGCCATAGGTCGTCTCCCATCTGTTGATGACCTCGTCGAAAGCCCAGATGCGTAAACCCTGCTTTGCGGCTGGAGGCAGGGGCGCAGCCACCGCGGACTGGGCAGAAGGTGCGGGATGTCAGCTTTAAAAACTCAGGTGTCCGGCCCACCAGCCCTGATCTCTCCCACTCGGCCCCCAGCCCTTCCCCTCGCTCCAGTTCCAGGCTCCCTGGCCCTTCATCTGTCAGACCCAGGACTCCCAGACCTTCCTCCTTCAGTGAGGAGCCCCAGCCAACAATCCCCTTGTCTTTCAGCAGCTGTCTGGATCCCGGGGCCCCTCCTTCAAACACAGGACTCTCACCTGGAGAGTGGGCGGGGGGAAAGGCACGGGTGGGATAATGTGGTGGGCGATACCACTGCTGGTGAGATGCCAGCTGGGCCAGGATCCTGGCACCTCGGTCCGGGAGATGGGGGGCCAGGGCGGGCCATAGCGCAGAGCTAAAGTCCGACCAGCCATGATCTTTCCCCGGCCCTGTAGCCAAGCAGGAGAAGGCTTGTTGTTGCTGTTGCCTAGGTGACAGAACCCGCCCACGCTGAATCCAGCCAATGGATGGGTAGAGTGAAAAAGAGACCCAGGCACAGAGGGACAGGGACCCCAAGAGGAGCACAGAAACTCAGAGAAGTTGGGGGAGAGAGCCAGACAGACAGAAGGGCAGAAATGGGGGACCGGAGAAGGGGAAATAGAAGTTGAATTTTAGAGTTTTAGAGACCGAGACCCCTGGAGGAGGGGTGGGGGAAAGACAAACCCACAGAGGGAACAGCAGAGAGGGGGACAGAAACTTGGGGGAGGGCTGCAGTCAGAGATCCAGAAAGGGGGGAACAGAAACCCTGTGGGGGAAGAGGATAGAGACTACCGGCACATCAGGAAGTCCACGGGAACCCCCCCCAATCCTATAGGGCCCCAGCCCTCCAGGCCACCTGCTCCCTCTGCCAGGTCTGTCCACCTAGGAGGTAATGACACCCCTACCCCAAGCGATCCTTCTGTGTGTGTGTGTGTGTGTGTGTGTGTGTGCGCGCGCGCGTGCGCGCGCAGGGTCAGCATCTGTCTTGGCTGTAAACTTCTTGAGGGTGGGCAGAAGAGACCTGCAGAGAAATGCACAGGAAAAGACTTAGCCAACAAGGGAGTGTGGAAAGAGCTTTGAATGAGAAAGAAATACAACAATGAGTGAGAGAAGGTGCCGAAGAAACAGAGACAGAAAGAGAGATACTGACCAGAGACAAGAGATGGGAAGTTAGAAGAGATGGGAGTGGCAAAAAGGAGACTAGAGCTGGGGACCTAGAACAAAGATGTGGCCACAGTGGCAGCCAGACCCTACTGCTGCCCCAGCTTTCCCAGGGACCCAGTCTGTGATGATGGGGGATGCGCATTTCTCTGTCCTTAGCCCCAAGTCTGCCCTAAAATAAAGTCTGAGTTGGCAACAGGTGTGAGGCTATGGAGTGGTAATGCATGAAGGAGTTTCCTGAGAATGTGGGGTCTGCCTCTGACTTTCCTTGTTACTGCCTCACTTTAAAGATCTTTTGGTCAAAGGCCTATTGCCTCCTCAGCCCCCCACTAACTCATCCCACCAACCCATTTTCAAGCAGGGAAAACTGAGACTGCCTTCGGATCCTCTCATTCAGGCTTCTGGGGTCCCTCCTACTGTCGGATTTTCCTGGCGCACTCAAGGCCTATCAGTGTCCAAATGACTCCTGGTCCTCACCAGAGGTCAGGCCAATTGGTTGGAACCTCATGCTTTACTCCAGCAGGACAATTTTAAGGTTTATTTCTTTCCCAATGTGGGGTAAAGGTTGGGATAGGGAAGGGTGGTAGAAACCTGACTCCAACTCCCCACCAGGGCCAAATTCTCTAGCATCCTGACCTCCTAACATTCAACCTTACTAGTGTTCCTACTGCGATGGGTCAGTCACTACCTCAAAACAGGGCATTCTTTCCCCATCTAGTGGCCTTCCCACTTGAATCCTAGCCCCCAGCTAGCTGCTTACATGTCCCAACTTTTATGCTTCCCACACACTTCTTTTTTTTTTTTATCCTCACCCCGAGGACATTTTTGCATTTATCAGACAGAGGGAGAAAGGGAGGGAGGGAAGGAGGGAGGGAGGGAGAGAGAGAGAGAGAGAGAGAAACATTCACGTGAGAGAGACACATCGACTGGTTGCTACCCACACGACCAACTGGGGCCCAGGACAAACTGCAACCGAGATACGTGCCCTTAGTGGGAACTGAACCCGGGTCTCTCTGGTCCGCCGGCCGGCACTCTAACCACTGAGCAAAACTGGCCAGGGCCCCCACACACTTCTTGACATATTTCCTCCTAGTCACTCTCTCCAGGATGGGCAAGGTGATGTCTTCTGAGATTACACAGTCAACAACCTAGAAGCCAAAGGCCTCCAATGGTCAAATCCACCAGTGTTGATCTGACAAGTTGTGTATTAGAGCTGATAAACAGTAGGCACTCGGAAGATATGAGCTATCATTGTCATCATCATCATCATCATCCTGGAGTTCACAGGAGAGTCTTATTCACTCTTCAAAACCCCATTTGGTTTCACCACCTGTCCTGTCCAGGTTGAGTTCTCACAGTCAGAGAGCTGTGATTTTGTGACCATGTAACAAGTTCCCAAAATGAGGCCCAGAGCAGCCAGGTCACCCCTGAGGTCCCTCAACACCTAGCTCTCTTCTTCCTCTGCTTGCCCAGCTCCTGGGCATGGGCTTCAGGCCCGGCCAGTCCGGCTGAGGAGCGTGCAGACGCAGGCAGTGTCGATTCGAATCCATCGCCAGCCCACACGACCCTGAGCGTCAGTGGTCAATGCCCGCACATAGGACTGCTTGGCCTTACACTCGGACACCCAGTGCCTCCGATCCACACCCCGGCAGCCCCCTCCACCTGCACCGGGGCCACCTTCCCCAGTGTTGTCAGCCTTGCAGCGGGTCTCAAAGAAGTACTGGCGAAGGGGGCTGCCGCCAGCCGCAGGCACCTCGCCCAACACCTCCACCTCGCGCCCACGCAGGTCCACAGCTGTCCGGCGGTCTGTCACCCAACTGCTGACTGCATCACACACAGCCAGCTCTCCCCGGCGACTGGCTGGTGCTGTCTCGCTCACTCCTCGACGACTGCGGTTAGCCGGGCTCCCCGGTGGCTCCCCAAAGGCCCCGGCCTCCAGCAGGAAGAGCAGAGGGGGGCCCTCGGGGGCGCCTCTGGACAGTGCTACTCGGGGGGACAGGAGGTCCCACTCAGGGGCTGGAAACGGGGGCAGTGGTGAGGGTGGGGGACGGGGTTCCATTGGGACACTGGGGAGGAGGCAAAGGAGGAGGATGGGGAGGTACTGTGAGGGGTGGGGGAGCATCTCGCTAAGCACCTGAGGATGAAGAAAGCTGGAGTTAGAAACGAAGATAATAACTTAGGGGGGGACATGCATCGTGCCAGAACCACAGGGAGGCCCTTGTTCTAAAACCTTGGGGTATATTCTAGAATTGAAGAATGCCCAACTTCCAGATTATTCTACTACTATTACTAATAATAGCCAACAATTGGGGAAATATAGGCTCAGAGAGGTTAGTAACTTGTACCAGGTCACACAGCCAGCAAATGCCAGAGTTGGAACCAGAGCCCTGTGTGAGCAACTCCACTCTGCCATTCTGCCTCTGCAACCCTGGGGAACCCTGAGTCCCGCAGCCTGAAGAGGTTTGCGGTTCCAAAACTCTGCAAAAAGCCAGTTCTGGAATCCTAGGGAGATCCAACTTTAGCTCAAATCTGCCACTTAGGAAGGCAAGAAAAACACTTCCTCTCTCAGATGGGGCCTCAGTTCCCCTGTCTGTGAAATTGGTCTCGGGCTGGAGATGCAGGTGAAGGTGTAGATACTGCATTTTCTCTACAACATTCTGGAAGCCTGTGGTTCTGGGAAAGGGTGATGTGGAGAGGACAGGGTGGTTACCAGACCTGTCAGCACCTCCTCCGCCTCGGAGCTCCCGGGCTGGGGGCCCCCAGACTCCAGGGGGCCCCTGTGGGGGACACAGGTGGCCCCCTCCTTCCTGACATCTCAGGAGAGGGAGGGGGCAACCACCTAGGGGAAGAAGGGAACAGGCAGGTTATATAGGCAGGTGGGGGAGGGGACCTGAAACCCTGGAAACTCCCCTTCCCAGTGTTCCTCTTCAAGTGTAGGGTACCCAAGAGTCAAACTCACGCCCCCTTCCCAGAGGCCCCTTCCCTGCCCAGGTGATGGCTCCTGGCTGGAATGGGAAGCAGATGGGGGGAGGAGAGGGGAGGGGAGAGGCTGGAAAAGATTACATCCTCCTGAGCCCATTCATCTCCCAGGCAGGGTGGGGGTGGGGCTGGTCTGGACACCCGGGTACCTGAGGGCTCACATTCAAGAAGCCCTGGGTCCCCGAGGCTGCTTCCTGGAATGTTTTCCCCACACAGGACAGGCCAGGGCCCGTCCCAAACTTCCACTGCACATACCTGGAGTGGCTGCCTGCCCTGGCTGGGAGATGGGGAATGGGGAGGTGGGGTGTGAAGAGGGGCGCATGTAGACCCCGTCAGGACCAGGAGTGAAGGTCCCCAGCTGCCTCCTTCCTCAGACCGGGAGTCCTGGGTCTTAGCCCGGTCCCTTGGAGTCCAGCCACCAGGCCCCTCCCTTAGATGCAGGAGTCCAGGCCCCCAAATTCCTCTACCCTGAGACGCACCAGTCCAGGTGCTCAGCACCCTCCTTCCTCGGACCCAGGGGTCCAGGCCCCCAGCCCCTCCTCCCTCGGACCCAGGGGTCCAGGCCCCCAGCCCTCCTCCCTCAGACCCAGGAGTCCGAGCCCGCAGCCCTCCTCCCCCGGACCCAGGAGTCCTGGAGTTCAAGGCCCCTCCTCCCCAGGTACTCAGAAATACGGACTCCCAGAAGACTAGGGCTGGGGGTCCGGACTCCGGAGACCTCACTGGGGGTGACCCCACTACGAGTGACCCCGCTGCTCCTCTGGGACTTTTCTCTCTTGCCTCAGTTTCCTCCGCCAAGCCCCGCCCCCGCCGGCCCCGCCCACGTCCCTCCCTACCCGGGGGCAGGGCGACTCGGACGCCGGAATCCCGGAGGAGGAGGCGCCGAGACTCTTACCTGGGGCGCCCTCCCCGGCTCCCTCGGCTGCCCCTGGCGCGGCGGCGGCTCCTCCTCCTGCTCGCTGGCTGCAGGGACGGCCGCTCGCCCGCCGGCTCCTCGCTGCACACGCTCCGGAGGGCCCGGGTCGGGGGCGGGGGCGGGGCGGCGCCCGACGGCGGAGGAGGGGCCGGGGGATCCCGCCTTCCACACGCGGGCCGGGACCTCGGAAGCCCGGCCTGGCTCGCTCAGCCCTGCAGTCCCAGGAGGCCAGGCGCCAGCCCTCTCCTCCCTCAGACCCTGGAGTCCGGGCCCCCAGACCCTCCTCCCTCAGACCCTGGGGTTCGGGGCCCCAGCCCCTTCTCCCTTGGGCCCAGGAGTCCGGGCCCCCAGCTCCTCCTCCCTCTGACCCAGGAGTCCGGGCCCCCAGCTCCTCCTCCCTCAGATCCAGAAGTCTGGACCCCCAGCCTCTCCTCCCTCAAACCAGGAGTCTGGACCCCTAACCCCTTCTTCCCTCAGTTTCAGCCCCCTCCTCCTCAGACCCAGGAGTCTGGGCCTGAGATTCCTTTGCATTCTTTTGCCAGTTAAGTGTCAATCCCCAGGCAGATTCCCACCCTCTGCTCTCATCCCTATTTTCCCGGGAGCTCCAGGCCAGACATTAACCAGCTGGGCTTGGGCAGCGATAAGGCCCCAGGCTGGGGAGACAGTGGTTGTGGGGGGCTCTCCCACAGAGTCCTCTCTCCTGGAATTTCCTGGCTGGGGACTGGGGAGAGGGTCTTGTCCTGAGCTCAGATAAGAGAAATTCAAGGTATCATGGGACTCAGAGATAGATATGATCTGGGAACAAAATGACCTTAGAGAAAGAAAGTGAATAGTGACAGATGAAGGGAGATGCGTAGAGGCACAGAAATGTAGAGGAGAAGAGGACAGGATCCAAGAGAAAGAGGAAGACAGAAATCCAGACAGAGAGAAGACGCAGACCCAAAGAGAGGGGACGGAAACCTGGAGAGAAGGGGCCAGACCCAGAAGGGGGACAGAGACCCAGAGAGAGAGAGAGAGAGACCTAAGATGGGGGAGACGGGAGTTGGAGTCCAGGACAGTCCTGTCCCAAGGCCCTTCACCCCTCCCCAGAGTTGTTTTCAGGAGGAAAGCTGACACTTGTCTGGGGGGGAGGGCATCCCCTCCCTCAGCCTAAATATAGCATGGCAAGGTGGCAGGAAGGGTGTCCCCGGATTAGGGTGTTCCCCTCTCCTCTTCCCCATCACAGCCAAGACAACTTAGAAGGTGGCCACAGTTGTTTATTGGGGTGGAGGAGGGGCACCTTCCAGGCTTTGAGTGTCCAGCCGAGTCACCTCCCTGACCTCGCCACACTCCTCCCATCCCTCAGCACCCAGCATATCCCAACCCTACCAGAGGGCGTCTGTGGAAGTCCCAGCCTATGACTGGGTAGCACAGAAGGGTTAGCAAAGAGAAGTAACTGGTCGGCAGCCTCTGTCCCCCTCTCTGGATTCATTTTCCCCTGTCTCTGGACCTCTTTCCCCTTCTCTCTGGGTCTCTGCCCACCCCCTTCTCTGGATCGCTGTCCCCCTCTCTGGGTCTCTCTCCCCCTCTCTGGGTCTCTGTCCCCCTCTCTCTGGATCTGACCACTGCCCTCTGGTTCTCTCCCCCTCCTGTAGGTCTCTGTCCTCCCCCTGAGTCTCCGATCCCCTCCCAGACCACTGCCCTCCCCTATCCAGCTCCTACTCCTCCCCATGGGTGTCACTCTTCGCCTCTGTCTCTGTCCTGTCTGTCGGGCTTGATTCCTCTCTGCCTGTGTCTCCTCTTTGTGTCTCTGTGCTGGACTCTGCGCCGTCCTCCAAGACACTGCCTTGTGCCTGTCACCATGAGGGGGTCTGTCTCGGTTTCTGTCTCCAGATGTGCCTCTCTCTCCTTTTCAGAGAGAAGTGACAACCTAAAGGTTATGTTATTTTCAACCTGTATCGAACTCTTCCCACAATCGCTACCTTCTCTATCTGTGTGTCAGAAGGCAGTGGGATTAAATCAGGGGTTCCAAACTGAATTTCTTAGCTGCATTCTGAGTTGCCAAGAGGCACTTCATAAGAGGTGTGTTCCCCTCAAACCAGTCCCCTTCTCATGCGTCACCTGGTGCCTCTAAGTAAGATTTCATTTGACCAATAAAGGGGGAGGTTGTTATAGCTAAAAATAACAACAACACCACTCTGTAAACCACTGGATGGGTTTTAATAAATTAATATAAGTAAAGTACTTTGAATGACACCTGGCACATAGGAAGCCCTATATGTGTTAGTGATTTAACCTTCCTCTTCCTCTCCCTCCTTCTCCTCCTCCTCCTCCTCCTCCTCCTCCTCCTCTTCCTCCAAATGCCCTACTGAAAGACCTCTAAAAATGTTTGGCTTTGTAACCTCCCCCCTGAGCCTCAGTTTCCTTGTCTGTGGGGCTGTGGATATCAGCAGACTGACGAGACACGTGGGCCAGGCAGCCTGCCACAAGCCCTGGCCCCTGGTGACAGTGACGGGCTGCCTGACCTTGGGAAGCCACTGTCGTGCTCTAAGACTCTGGTTTCTCCCCAGTTCATCTGACAGCCTTCCTGGGCTGTGGGAAGATGGGGTGGTGCCCCGATTTGGGACTCCGGGGAATGGAGACTGCGTCTCTCTCGGACTCGGGCGCTGCCTTTCGCGTCTTTGGTTCTCTTTCTCTGGATACTCTGGTCTGCCTCCAGCTTTGGGTGTCTGTCCTTTCTCTCTGGGTGCCTGACACCGTCTCCACCTCCGTGGGTCTCCATCCCCCACTCTTGGTCTCTGTCTTGTTCTCCTTTGGATTTCTGTCCCTCTCCCTCTGGCTTTTATTTTTTTCTTTATTGAGTTTAGAGCGAGAGGAAGGGAGAGAGAGATAGAAACATCGATGAGAAAGAACATCAATTGGCCGCCTCCTGCATGCCCCCACTGGGGATCGGGCCCACAACCTGGGCATGCGCCCTGACCAGGAATCGAACCGGCAACCTCTTGGTGCATGGGTCGATGCTTAATCACTGAGCCACACTGGCCAGGCTTCCCTCTGGGTCTTTGTCTCCTTCTCCTCTCTTTGGGTATTCATCCTCTCTTGTCTGGGTTTCTATCTCTTTCTCTGAGTATTCTTTCTTAGGTCTCTATCTGTCTCTTCTGGGTTTCTGCCCCCCTCATGTCTGGACAGAGTACACATAGTGTCTCCCTCTTTCCCCCTCCCCTTGTGGCTCTGATGTCCATGTCTGGAAGCAAATCTGTAGATGAAGACAGATAGTAAGGGGGTTTCAGGCAAAAAGAAGCAGGTGTGAGGTCAATGGCAGGAGTGTCCAGTTCAGTTTGTCTCCCAGAGTCCACAGCATTGCATTAGCTCCCTGATATCCTTGGGTCCTGGTGCTGCCACTAAACCCAAAACAAACCAACATGGCTCTGTGGAGTTCATCCATACAGTCCAACTCAAGCCAACATTCCTACTAGACACACAGTGACAAACTCAATGTAAGGCTCCATGAACTGGTCCTAGGAGATGCACATGGCTATACAACTCAATATAGCTCAGCTCCGTGTAGCCCTGCAAACTTCCAGCCTCATAACTCCACATGATTCAACCCCACAGACTCATTCGATCATATGTTCCAACCCAACTTAACCTAACATGACCTAGAAAGTTCACATTCTATCACTTGACTCTTCTACATGACTCACAAGTTCACAGAACCTAAAATAACATAGCTCCCGAAGAATCACAAAGCCAATTTCCAACATGTTTCAGCTCCACACCACCATGCATGAACACGCATCCAATCCCAACAGTGCCATGGGTGGCCACACATCTTGACCCAACATGGCCCTAGAGGACTCATCAAACCCCAGAAACCTGCACAATTCAGTTGGACAAGACTCATCCAACCCAACACAGAACAAAGAAACTCACAAAGCTATGTGACCAAAGCTATCTCAACACTACCTCAAAAGGCTCCACAGCCTTACAAACACCAACGCGATACAAACTAATGCAGCCTCCCCCTGAGCTCAGCATAACCCACTGCCATTTATTGCCACCTAAGGAGGTACCTACAGGAGTACCTAACCGCAACACAAGAACCAATAAGACTCAGTGTTCCTCGGCTCATTACCACTTAACCTAGTTCTTCCTAAACCCAACCTCTCCCCCCGACCTTCCCCTCCACCCTACCCTCCCTCCAAGGAAATATGAGGTCCTGCAGGCCTCAACTGTCCCTCACACTTCAGTCACCATGTGTTTTCCAGGGGGGGGCCAGAGTGGAGGTGATAACTCAGGCAGCTCTCCATCCACCAATCCCCCATTGACCTTGCCCTCCAGTGGGCCACAGGGCTGTGTATCCACATGGCTGTACATCCCCGCCTCTTCGCCCTCTGTCTCCCGGTGGTAAAAGTAGCTGAAATTGGAGACAATGACGGGCACAGGCAGGGAAATGGTCAGCACACCAGCGATGGCGCACAGAGAGCCCACTATCTTGCCACCCACAGTGACTGGTGCCATGTCTCCATAGCCAACTGTAGTCATGGTGACCACTGCCCACCAGAAAGACTCAGGGATGCTGGTGAAATAGGAGTCTTCCCGGTCGACCTCAGCAAAGTAGACTGCACTGGAGAAAAGGACCACACCGATGAAAAGGAAGAAGATGAGGAGGCCCAGCTCACGCATGGAGGCTCGTAGAGTCTGCCCCAAGATCTGTAAGCCCTTTGAGTGCCGAGACAGCTTAAAGATTCGGAAGACGCGTACCAGTCGGATGACTCGCAGGATGGCCAATGACATTGCTGGCTGGCCCACCCCCCTCTGCCGGGCCAGCTCCGTGCCCAGCGCCACAAAGTAGGGCAGGATGGCCACAAAGTCAATGAGGTTCATCACATTCTTGAAGAAGGCTGTCTTGCTTGGGCAGGCCAACAGGCGCACCAGTAGCTCGAAAGAGAACCAACAGATGCACAGTGTCTCCACCACAAAGAACGGGTCATCAAAGGGCGTGCGAGGTGGGGGTCCAGGCACAGGGCTGGAGCCGTTCAGCCGAGACGGAAACTGCAAGAAGGAAGGGGTTCAGGGAAGACCATACCAGGGCTGGGACACACTGGAATGGCCATATTCATTGTTTAAATATCCAACTACTTATCTAAAAATTGGTTAACAGCCCTGGCCGGTTTGGCTCAGTGGTTGGAGCATTGGCCTGCGGTCCTGAGAGACCCAGGTTCGGTTCCCGCTAAGGGCACGTACCTCGGTTGCAGTTTGTTCCTGGCCCTGGTTGGTCGTGCGGGTGGCAGCCACTCGATGTGTTCCTTTCACCTCTCTCTCTCTCTCTCTCTCTCTCTCTCTCTCTCTCTCTCTCCCCTCTCCCTCCCACTCTATCTGAAAAAAAAAAAAAGGAAAAATGTCCTTGGTTGAGGATAAAAAAAAACCAAAACGATTGGTCAACAGCCACTGCCCACAGGTCACCAGTGACTCAGCCATCATAGACTCTTTCCCAGGACCCCAGGATCATCCCTGGATGGCTGACTCTGTGGTCCCTCATCCTTCACTGCTGGGGCCTCCTGAAATGATGCTTGAGTGGGGCTCAACCTCTTCCCTTCCAAAGCCTGTCCCCACCATTGATTTTCTAGGCAGGGAGGGTCCCTGACCTGGCCCACTCCCTTGTGCCCTGCCCTCCCAAATCCAGCACAGACCAGAATGGTTAAAGACCTTTCTGTCAGCCCAAATTTCTTTGTGATTAATCCTCCTACCCTAGCCCTCAGGACCCACCATTCTGTCTCCAGCTACCTCGGATGCTTTCTTCAGGTCAGACTCTCACCACCTCCAGTCCATCCTTCCCATTGGTCACACCCAGCCGCACAGACCCCAGATTGTTCAGGCTCTCCCCTCACCCCCAGCTTTGATTTATTCTTTTTCTTTTTCTTTTCTTTTTGTTAATCCTCGCTTGAGGATATTTTCCCATTGATTTTTTAGGTAGAGTGGAAGGGAGGGAGGGAGAGAGAGAGAGAGGAACATTAATGTGAGAGAGATACATCGATTGGCTGCCTCTCTGAGGACCCCAACTGGGGCTGAGGATGGAACCTGCAACCCAGATATGTGCCCTTGACTGGTAATCGAACCCAAGACCCTTTGGTTGACAGGCTGATGCTCTGTCCACTGAGCCATAGTGGCCAGGACCACCTTTGCTTTCTTAATGCACCTGTTCTCCTGTCCTGCCCTCCTCCGCAAGCCGGGTTTCTCACCTACCTTAACCTTGCCTTCTGATAGGGCAGGTCCTCCTACCAGACCCTCAGTATCCCGCCCACCCAAGCCAGACCCCGCCTTCCTGAGAGGCCCCGCCTCCCACAGCCCCTTAGCCCGCTTTTTGATTGGCCAGATCCAGTGGCCCCGCCCACTCTCCCAGAAACCCCGCCTCTCTCCACGGAGCCCCGCCTCCTCACCGGTCCCGCAGCAAGCACCGCTGCAAGCCCCGGCTTGTCGCGTTCGTCACGGAAATCGGGCAGCGTCTCGAGACAGAAGACGACGATGGAGACGAGAATGACGAGCACAGAGACGACGGCGAGCACGCGCGCGGCCTGCGAGCTCTCGGGGAACTCAAAGAGCAGCCAGAGCTGGCGCGCGAAGGCGCGGCGGGGAAGGGGCCGCTCCGGCGGCACCGGGCAGCCCTCGTCCTCGCGCAGGCGCGCCAGCGCCGCCGCGCCCAGCCCATAGAAGGCCACCTCCTCCAGGAAGACGTCGAGCGGCACGTGCGCCGGCCGCCGCAGCCGCCCGCCGGACTGGTAGTAGTAGAGCACGGCGTCGAAGCTGGGCCGATGGCGGTCGAAGAAGTATTCGCGGCGCGCGCCGTCGTAGAAGCGACTCCGGCGCGCCGGGTCCCCGAGCAGCGTGTCCGGAAAGCGGCCCAATGTGCGCGCCCGCGTCTCGAACCGCAGCCCGGCCACGTTGAGGACCAGCCGCTCGCAGCAGCCGCACGGCGGCGGGCACCGCGGCTCCATGGCGCGCGCAGCCCCAGTGACCCGCGGACGGACGTGTGGCCCCGACGCCCGACCCAGCCCCACCTCGGCCGCCGCCGCCGCCGCCCCAGCCTGGTGTCCGATGTCCACGCGTAAAAATAGCCCAGCCCTGCGGCCAGGGCGCGGGGGAGGGGGCGCCGTGACCCCGGCGGGGCAGAGGGTACCCGCGCGCCCTCTGCCGGGGCTCCCGCCCTTTCCCCCCTCCGGCCGCCGCAGAGCTACGCTTACCGGCGTCTATCCTGCTTTCTGGTCCCCTGTCCCTCGATCTTTCCATATCCCAGGATCTCTGTGCTGCGTCTCTCTGGTTTCCGTGTTTGTTCCTCGTCTCTCGCTCTTTTTTTTAAATGAGTATCTGAGCCCCTGTGTTGGAGTCACAAATTTCCATGTCTTTCTTCCTCTCCTTCCCTTGTATGTCTCTGCGTTTGGCTATGCCTTTGATTTGGGTTTCTGTCGGGAATGTATCTCTGAGTGTCTTAATGGGGCAATTCTCTGAGTTTGCTATTTTGGGGGATTCTTTGTCTTGGTGTCTCTGATCTATGTCTTTTTTTTTTTAATCCTCACCGGAGGACATTTTTCCATTTTTTTGTTTAGATAGAGTGGGAGAGAGAGAGGAAGAGAGAGAAACATCGACGTGAAAGGAAAACATCTAGTGGCTGCTTCCCGCATGACCCAGCCAGGGCTGGGGACAAACTGCAACCGAGGTACGTGCCCTTAGCGGGAACCGAACCGGGTCTCTCTGGATCGCAGGCCAATGCTCTAACCGCTGAGCCAAACCTGCCAGGGCTATGTCTTTGTTTTGACTCTTGTTTCCCAGAGGGCCTGTCTCTGTTTATCTGTTGTCTCCCTTGGTCTCTTTCGGGGTCCCTTCTCATCATCTCTTAGCTCTCTGTGTCTCTACCCCTGGGTTTCTCTGGCGTGCCCCTTTGGGTCTCTTTCTTTCCCTGAATTACTGTGAGTCTGTCTCGGCCTCTGGAGGGCTCAGAGTCTCCAGTCACCTCTCTGAATCTCTCTCTGACCATCACTCTTAGGTCAGCTCCGCCACTGTCAGGTTGCCTGGTCCTGACGCCCTCCAGCAGCTGCAAACCATGAGCATGTGCACCGTTCAGCCGGCCCTCTCCAGGGTCTCCACCTGGGTTCTCTGCCGGATATACTGAGACCCAGCGAGAACTCAGCTATAGCCCTGAATAGTGGCAAAGGCGACAGGGCCAGCCAGGAACAGGTGGGGGTGGTTTGGGGAGATGCCGCAGGGTCACTCGAAGGGACCGAAGGACAGACAGACGACGGCCTTCCAGCCACCGGTGTCCTATGACATCGCCTAAAAATAGCCTCATCCGTTCAGCTTTGGGGGTAGTGGTGGGATTGGTCACCTGGACTCCTGGAATGCGGTCCCAGGCGCCCTCTGCTGGGCGAGTGGAGAGAGACAGTAAAGGTTATTACTCCCTGCGAATTCCCTCACACTCCTCCTGTCTACAATTTCTTTCTGGGATGGTATGTCACCATCACTTTGGAGTTCTGTGTCCTGCTCTCTGTATCTCTCTCTCTCTTTCATGATCTTTGACCCTCCTTGTCTTTGGGTCTCTGTCCCCCATCTCTCTGTTCTTTTCTCTCCCCTTCTCTCTGGTCTCTGTCTCCTTTCTTCTCTGTCTCATCTTTTCTCCCATTTTCCAAGACCACAAAGAGACCTCTCTGTGTGGGTCTCTGAACTCTGTGTGAACTGACCCCCACCACTCCCCGCAGCCCTGTCTCTTATACCCACCTGCCACTGAGCCTGGAGGCGGGTACTCCTTCCCACTTCCAGACAATTCTCCCTTCCTCAGCTCCTTTGAAGCTCAAAGCTGTCCATGGACACCTCCCTAATGAATTCCCCTTCCCCTTTAAAAAAAATGTTTCTTTATTGATTTTAAAGAGAGAGGAAGGGAGACGGAGAGAGATAGAGACATCGATGAGAGAACATTAATTGGCCGCCCCCTGCATGTCCCCCACTGGGGATTTGGCCCACAACCTGGGCATGTACCCCGATCAGGAATCAAACCCGCGACCTCTTGGTGCATGGGTCGACACTCACCCACTGAGCCACACCAGCTGGGCTCCCCTTTCCCTTCTAACCTCTCTCCTGCTGTCATGAAATATCTCAGACTGTCATAATTCGTAGTAATTTCAATATTCTTATAGATGATCCTCCTGAAACCTGGCCTGTACTGGATTGTCTTTTTCCAAAAGGATCATATTTCTCGTCCGACAAGGTAGTCCTGAATCTTGTCACACCCTCTCCAGAGGAGTCCATGTCCCTGGCTTTTGGGAACTCCTTCAACCAACAGACTGTCTCAGAAGGGAAGCCATGTGATTTCCGAGGTTGGGACATAAAAGGCAACTTTCCATCCCACTTTTTTCCTTGGGACACTTATGCAGGCCAGATGGTGAGCACCCTGTGGAGATGACATGATGCTACTGGCCCCCTTGGCCCTGGCTAAACGCACAGCTGATGACCAGTACCAACCTGTAGCTGTGTGAGCAAGTCACCTCAGAAGTATGTCCTCTTGCCCCAGCCAGGCTACCCCCACTGATGCTTCTAGAGCAGAGATAAGCCCCCACCCCTGCCCCAGCTCTGCCCAGACTTGTGAGATTATAGAGTTCTTTTTGCGGGGAAGGTGAGGTTGCCACAGAAGCAGAGTTCCCTTCTTGTCACATGTTGGGTGCATGAGGTTGATATGTCTTATCACAGGTGATTTCACTTTGATCACTTGCGTAGAGTAGTGTCTGCTGGGTATCTCGCTGTAAAGATTCTTTTCCCCTTGAAATTAATGAATATTTAGGGGAACCATCTTTTTTGCTCAGTCAACTTTATCGAGGTTTAATTTACATGCAATAAAGTTTACCCTTTATAGTGTATACTTCTGTGAGTCTTGGCAAATGAATACAGTCATGTAACTGAACCACAATCAAAATAGACCACAGTTGCCCTGCCGGTTTGGCTCAGCGGTAGATTGTCAGCCTGAGCGGACCAATGAGTCGTGGGTTCGATTCCGGCCAAGGGCATGTATCTCAGTTACGGCTTGTCCCTGGCCCCGGTTGGGGTCATGCGGGAAGCAACCGGTTGATGTGTCCCTCTCACTGATGTTTCTCTCCCTCTCCCTCCCTCCCACTCTATATGAAGATAAACAAAATATCCTCGGGTGAGGATTTAAAAAAAAATAGACCACAGTTTTGTCACTCCCCGAAGTTCCCTCCTTCCCTTTATAGTCAACCCCCTCACTTCCAGCTCTTGGAAAAAACTTTTGTTTTCTCTCTCTCCCTGTAGCTCCCCCCCCTCCCCCCGACGAATGTCAAATAAATGAAATCATAAGTATGTAGACTTTGAGTCTTGCTTCTTTCACTTAGCATAATGCGTTGAGGATTCACTCCTGTTAGGTACATCTGTAGATCTTTCATTCTTAACTCTCATTGCAAGGCATGGATGTACCATTTGTTTATCCATTCACTGTACATTTCGGTTACATTTCATTTGTGGTTATTCTGAATAAAGCTGATGTAAAAATCCTTGTACATTTTTTAAAAATATGTTTTTACTGATATTTTTTAGAGAGAGAGGGAGAGAGATAGAAACATTGATGTGAGAGAGAAACATGGATCAGCTGCCTCCTGCACGCCCCCTACTGGGGATCAAGCCCACAACCTGGGCATGTGCCCTGACTGGGAATCTAACCAGATCTCTCAGTCCATGCGACAATGCTCAATCCACTGAGCCTCACTGGCTGGGCTGTACGTGTGTGTATTTTTATCCTCACCCGAGGACATTTTTCCACTTTTTATTCAGATAGAGCGGGAGGAAGAGAGAGAGAGAGAGAAACATCAACATGAAAGGGACACATCGAGTGGCCACCACCCCCAAGACCCAACCAGGGCCGGGGACAAACTGCAGCCGAGGTACATGCTCTTAGCGGGAACCGAACCGGGGTCTCTCTGGACCGCAGCCTGATGCTCTAACCGCTGAGTCAAACTGGCCTGGGAGATATATATATATTTTGTTGTTGTTGTTGTTGTTGTTGTTGTTTTGGTGGTACGTGCCCTTAGCGGGAACCAAACCCAGGACTCTGGTCTGCAGGCCGACGCTCAACCGCTGAGCCAAACTGGCCAGGGCGTTTTTTGTTTTTGTTTTTTAATCCTCACCAAGGATATGCTCAGAGAGGGGAAGGTAGAGAGAGAGAAACATGAATGTGAGAGAGAAACATCAATTGGTTGCCTCAGTACGTGTCCCGACTAGGGATCGAACCTGCAACCCAGGTATATGCCCCACTGGGAATTGACAAGGTGACCTTTTTTTTGTTTAATCCTCACCCGAGGACATTTTTCCATTTTTTGTTCAGATAGAGTGGGGAGCGGGGGAGAGAGAGAGAGAGAAACATTGACATGAAAGGGACACATCAAATGGTTGCCACCCGCACGACCCAACCAGGGCCAGGGACAAACTGCAACTGAGGTACATGCCCTTAGCGGGAACGAACCTGGGTCTCTCTGGACCGCAGGCTAACGCTCTACCACTGAGCCAAACTGGCCAGGGCTGTTTTTTGTTTTTTTACCCTCACCCGAGGACATTTTTCCATTTTTTGTTCAGATAGAGTGGGAGGGAGAGAGAGAGAGAGAAACATCAACGTGAAAGGGACACATCAAGTGGCTGCCGACCACTTGACCCAAACAGTGCCGGGGACAAACTGCAACCGAGGTACATGCCTTTAGTGCGAACCGAACCCAGGTCTCTCCGGATCGCAGGTCAACGCTCTAACCACTGAGCCAAACCGGCCAGGGTGACAAGGTGACCTTCTGGATGCTCAACCAACTGAGCCGCTCCTGCCAGGCCTTGTACATGTTTGTGTGAACATAAGTTTTCAGGTCTCTAAGTTGCTAAGAGAGCTTTCTGGGTTGTACAATAGGTGTATGCTTAACTTTTTTTGCCATCAGCAGACAATTGTGTCATAAGATTTCCTATGTTAATATCTTTTCTATCTTATTTTAAAAACCTTCCTTGAATCTGCTTCCCTTTTCTGCTACTATTACCTCTCTCTGCTCCCTTTGAGGCAAACTTCTCTAAGGACTTTTCCCTACCT